AGAGGAGAAAGAGAGGAGAAGAAGAAAGATGAAGAAAGAGAGAGAGAGAGAGATGGAGAGAGAAGAGAGAGGAGAGAAAGAAAGAAAGGAAAGAAAGAAAGAAAAAAAAGAGAAAAGGAATACAGAATAGAGAGAGAGAGAATCTAAAAGAGAGAGAGAAAAAGAAAGAGAGAGAGAGAGAGAGAGGAGAGGAGAGAAGATAGAAAGAGAAGAGAAAAGAGATAGCAAGAGAGAGCAAAAGCGACACTGTTTGTGCTTTGTCTATCACCGTACCCACCCTATCTAACTCTCTCTCCACGCAATACCCACGAGGAACCCACGTGTACGCACCTGATCTCTCTCTATATAAAAAAAACCTCCAGATATAAAGATATATTTATAGCTGCCGATAAAGGACAACGTAGCTAAAAGAAATATATATTCATCGTGATTATCGTACGCCTGGCAACTCGAGCCGCTAACAGTTAGTACTCAGAGAATGTTGCCATGCAGAGTTCAACCGTCTGCTTATTCATGCGTTCAAATAAGAGAAAATAAAGGAGGAAACTTTTATTTGGCCTTATATGGAAGGGATGTTTTTCTTTCTTGAAGTTTGTTTGTGTATTTGTTTTGTTGTTGTTGTGTACTGGTTCGTTATAATGGATTTTTTTGTTTTTTGTTTTTCGAGTGTTTTGTGTTTTTTTTCTTTCTTTTTCGTGGTAGTACTTATATTTTTTTTTTTTTTATTTTTAATGGGGGGGTATTTTGTCGGAATCGCTCTTCTTTTTTATCTTTTGTCTCTTCTGATTCCTCCTTCTCCTTCTCTCCCTCTTTCCCTCTTCTGTCTGTCTTCTCTCTCTTCCTTTCTCTCTCTCCCTCCTCCCTCCCTCCCCCCTCTCTCTCTCACTGTCTCTCTTCTCTCTCTTACTCTTTCTCTCTCCCTCCCTCCCTTCCTCCCTCTCTGTCTCTCTGTCTGTCTGACTCTCTCTCTGTGTCTCTCTGTCTGGCTCTCTCTCTCTCTCTCTCTCTCTCTCTCTTCTCTCTCTCTCTCTCTCTCTCTCTCCTCTCTCTCTCTCTCTCTCTCTCTCTCTCTCTCTCTCTCTCTCTCTCTCTCTTCTCTCTCTCTCTCTCTCTCTCTCTCTCTCTCTCCTCTCTCTCTCTCTCTGTGCCTTTTACACACAGAATGAATAAATATCTGGAAGAACGCACCTACGTCCATAATAATGATAATGGATATGAATGCATGTAATAATATTCATAATATCAAAGAATTCGGTAACAGTAAAGAATATTTAAAAAAAAAGTAATATTAATGTTTACAATAATAATGATAGATACTAAGCTATTAGTGTTAATTCCATAATCATTATGATGATACTGTCAAGATAATAAGTTTGATAAAATATTGGTAAAGTTATGTTTGCTTTTATTTCTGATATTTAAATTATCGTCATTACCATTATTATTCCCATTGGTATAATTGTATTTAATACTTAAGACGATTCATTTCCACATTCGAACAGATTAGAATAAAATAAAATAATATTGATGATAATAGATAAATAAAAATCAATAAATACACGAAAAAAACTATTTAAAAGACAAATTTAAAAGATCAGAGACAAACATATTTTTTCCACAATGACCGAAACATATACAAGACAAAATAACTTGTTCAACATTACATCCTTGTAAGTGCAAAAACTCATGTTCAATTTGTTTGAACCTCTGCTGACTTAATAAGGCTATTTATCCAACATGAATTATACATGTCTGAGGAAACTCTGTTACTGGGCTTCTTGTGGAGCTACATCTTTAAAAATTTCGAGAGGCAAAAAAAGGATATGGGAAATTGCTTGTTTGGCAGAGGTATCTTTTCATAATTAATCATTGTAAAGAAAAAGAAAAGAAAAAAACAAAAACAAAACAAACATGACTTTGTTATGTTGATAAAATTGTTGAGTAACTGCTGCTGTTGTTTCTGCTATTGCTGTTTTTGCTGCTGCTTCTGTTATTATTATTGCTGCCAGTTCTTCCTCTCCTTGCTTGTCTTCTTCTCTTACCCTCTTTCTCTCCCACTAATTATTCCCCCCTCTCCATGCACCATTTATTATCATTCCCTTCTCCCTCTCCCCGTTTCCTTCTTATCCTCTCTCTCACTTCCTTTCTTCCTGTCTTCCTCTTTCCCCTTCTTCTCTCCCTTTTCCTCCACCAATCCCCCTCCCGTTTTTTCTTTCTCACTCTCTCTACCTCCCTTCCTTCCTCTCTCCCTCTCTCTCTCCTCTCTCTCTCTCTCTCTCTCTCTCTCTCTCTCTCTCTCTCTCTCTCTCTCTCTCTCTCTCTCTCTCTCTCTCTCTCTCTCCCCCTCTTCCCCCTCTCTCTTACGTGATATGAACGACGTAATAAAACGAAACGTAGAACAAAACATACGACACGAAACAAATGCGACTAAAATATCACAAAATATCCAAACCATCACGAACTCTATCCAATTTTGATTAATGCCAATTCCTTCCAACAG